ATATACCACTTTTTATAATAGTTGACCTGCAGGATTCATTCCACTTTAGGTCGAAAATCAAACCTATTACTCGTTTTCGTAAAAAAGTTCGATTGATATCGCTACTACTGCCTCATAAAGTTGTATTATACGCTAAGATAGAGTTCATCAAAGCATAATATATGTCAAGTAAGGACTCTCTATATAGAGTTCCTTTAAGTTGTAGCATAGCATAAAAATTTGTCTTGATCTTTTCACACGTATGCTTGATATGTTTCTTCCAGTTGACATTACCTCTACCCAAGTTCCGAAAAATTATGTAGATTCTGATGGTTTAAGATTCATTAACAAAAACATTTGAAAGTTTTGTGACATTTTTCCAATAGCCCGAATCAGTACTGTTTTACTTGTGCTTTCCAGATTGAGTGTATGTATAAATTGAAAATGTTACATTAAACATCATGCAATGTCTCACGAGAACAAAATCGAATTATTCGTGCACAATATAGCACCCCCGTTTCCGTTGACAAATAGAACCGCGACATAACAGTTAATACTTTAATCTGCTAATGCCTTCTGTTAATCAGAGAAGGCCAGAAAGGACAATGAAATCTCTCAAGAACTTTGCCCATGATAATCAAACGAGGCATAAACGCGGAGATTCGATCATTTCAAACCATTTGTGCCAATGCAGCCGTTTTACTGCCGCATATTCACTATTTCGCCCAGAGACACGTGGAATCCACCCCGCATCAGTAGCGTAGGGGAATCATAAATACGTTTCAGAACGATTCTTTCTTGGCGTCAAAATTCTAGAAGATATATAAAAATGCAAGAGTTGTCATGGTTCCTCCTTTGGTTAATGTCGTTGAGTCCGTGAACTTTGTAAATTAGATTAAAAATAACTTTTTTTGCGATTTGTTAAGGATTTGACTGCCGTTGTCAAATATGGGCATAGCCAGCGAGTGGCAGAAATTGGCAGCTACTGTTTGAATATATGAAGCCAATCTAAATGAATGGTTATGATAAGTTGATGAATGCAGCTGTTACTACGTGGTAGAAGATCATCATGAAAAAAGAAAGTTCCCATGTAACCAACGTTATTGCATTTCCAAACTTATACAATAAAGTGAAAAGATTCCCAATGTTAACCCCCATATATCTATATACCACTGTAGGTAATAACGAACGGACCTTAATGACTGAATATCCTGATTTTTTTAACCTGTAATAATGTGGGTACACTAATCTGAAAACCAGCGAATACACTACATCGATTTGGTCATTCAGCAGATTACATCCGCAATGCTTTTTCATTTTCGAGGATTATAAATAAATGAGTTTCCAACCGTTACCTGCATAGTACAGAATTTCCGTAGATTCGGGTCAGAAACAACCCAGAAGTTAGTCAGAAAACAAAGCCTCTAATTTAAGTACAGATTAATATACCCTCAAATCAAACAATCAGAAATAAAAAAAATTGTAACAAAAATATATTTTGGTAAAATAACAGAGATAATTGCAGGATTTTTCAAATCTGTTTAAAAAAAATCTGTCTAAAATCTGTTTTTCCGTTAATCAGCTGTCGCCCCCATACGAACGACAACTCTCAGAAGTTGAGAAACTTGTGCAAGCTAAAGACTAACGAGGTCTAACCTTTCAACGTATGTTTCCTTGATAAACATATTTTGAAAAAACAAAAAAACACGCTTTCAAAGAACGTCGAACTAAAGAGTTAAAAATATCTTTGAAAAATACTAGTATAACTGTGAAAAAGCGACGGGCGCTTGATAAACAAAAAATATGGCACAAAGCACCCAGGCTTTTTTTTAGTTCGATGTTCTTCAAAAGCGTGTTTTTTAGTTTTTTTTAATTATATTTATTTTTCATTTTTCATTTTTGTATGCTATAAAAGCGTATTTTCAAATGAAGAAATACATGTAAAGTCAGTTCGAATTAAATCGAAAATAGATCAAGCACTAATGTCGATAATTCTGTCAAATACAGATCTCGAGCTTTCAAACGGGAAAGAATAGTTACAAACAAACATACATACAGGTGAAGCTATACAAGCGTGTTAAAAAAACAATGTGAAAGTGCCAAAAATAAAGAGGACAAGATGGAAGAATCTGGAGGTCATGAGATCAAGTGTTTGGAGTGTACTAGTGTTTATGTGGGATACTGTGGCCGAAATTTCTCAAAACGGTATGCTGAACATGAAAGGTCCTTCAGATTAGGTAAAAATGATTTGACGTTTCCGAATCTGCACTATGCAGACAACGATTGGAAACTCAATTATTTGGAATACTTGAAAATTCATTAGCATTAGCATTGCGGATGTAACCTACTGAATGACCAAATCGACCTGGCCTACTCGCGTACCTACATTGACACATATAAACAAAATTCAGGTAATAAAGTCATTAAGAGCCCTCTGGTATTACCTGAAGTGGTGTATAGATTTTATAAGGGTTAACATTTTCAATTATTCCAGTTTATTGTATAACGTAGTAACTGTAGTTACGTTAATGACAAATATATAGGAGAAAACCTAGATTGTTTCTTTTTCCATTTTTAGAATAGTTATGAGGTAATGATATGAAACAAAATAAGGCAGGGCGATGGCAAATAATCAGTTGTTTTACTATTCTTCAAAGGATGAAAACCTGGTTCAGATGTACAAATTGAGAGACCCGACTGACTGAGTAGTGATTTATGTGGATCCATTGGACACACAGTTAGTGAAACTACTGGTATAGAGTTATCGATAAACTCGGGGGTTCTCTATATATGAAGAAAAAAAAAACACATTTGTAATACAGTTTGAATAACCTACAAGAACACATGTGTAAGTAGGTACTTTTACGCATTTTTTTTAAGTAAAATGCGAGATAATTGGTAGGACGGCAGCCTGGTGGGTTGACGTGGGTGGTCAGTTTCACTGTCAGTCGACCGCTGTGCGAACCGGTGATTCGAACTGCAAGACCGAACAATCGATTGTCATTTCCTATCGTCCAATCCGTGTTAGGAATCACACATTGAAAGGTAAGACCTCGTTAGTCCTTAGCTCGCACAAGTTTTGACTTTTGAGAATTGTCGTTTGTAGGGGGCAACAGCTGGTTAACGGAAAATAGATTTTAACAGAACAGATATATTGTCCAACGATCAGCAACTGATCAAGAAGCATTAGGACGACACAGAATTTCATTCCTAATTCTCTGTTTATGCAGTACTTCACTTTTTTTATAGTGCTGAAAATTATTACCTCACTGTTAGTAGTAGTAGTAGTTAGTAGGTGAGATTTTTGAAGGCACCAGATTTGTTGGTTTGTCGTTACATGATCAGTTCACGGATTTTAGTTTGATAGGGGGCGCTGCAGTGCAATAGTGTCATGTTCACGACCTTACCCATCACTGATACTATGAAATTTAGGCTAGCTGATATTTTCTACGTTTTTCTGAATATAATTTCGACCCTGGGATGATTCATTATGCAAAATAGTCAATTGTTCGCAAGTGAAGCATATAGTACACTAAACTGTATGTTATTTGAAGGTCAATATACTAATTTTGTGTGATGTTATCCTAAATTACATCGAAGTTTTGAAGTTCCAGTGTTTCATTTCATTTGCAAGAGATGTCACGTCAGACATAGAGAAAAATCATGTATGGAAGGTGCAGCCTGGATACAGATGACTGCCGATGTTTGTTTCAGCACTGGCTTACTTTCCAGTAATTATACTCAAATGAATGAAATATTAGGGAGAGAGTGAAGTAGAAGATTTCTTTATATATCTTTCATAATGACAGGGCCACTCACCATTCGAACAAAAAATGTGACACTTTCTCCAAGAGTATTTCAATTTCATAGTGAATGAGCGTCAGTTTCGGAAATCATGATTATCAAATGCAGGTTTGACACTGTTTATAGTTGAAGAAATATTCATCACACACGGCACTTCTTCAATATACCTACCATAAATTTCTTCAGAATATCAAAATTTTGTAGGTCAGCTGTACTCAACAAAAATTTTCCACAAGTTAATGTGAGCATGACCATTTTTTTCATAATGACAATACATAAAGTATCGACACAAAACTCTAACCCTAAAGAGGCATAAGCCTTTAGCAGGGCCCCTCTTACAACCGCCAATGTAACTTAAAATCAACCAACCCAAATGTTAATAACTCTAATCACTTAATGGAGAATCAATCTATTCCTGTCTTTCTGCAGCATTCCACAGAAAATAGGCAAATACATGTAATTATTAAATTCTTGTAACAATAACAGGCAGCACTGGGATCACGGTCATTCTCATCTTTCATCTCATTTAGTAACTGTATAAGTGAGTAAAACTGTAATAATTTTTTTATTGAACAACTAATTTAATGAAATATTATAAAAATACCATAGTTGTTTCTGTGAGAATTCTATCAAAACCACTTCGAAAATGGATGTGAGGAAAAATGCAGGTAATTTTTCCGGAAACGGGTTGACTCTGAGTATGCATTGATTCCATTTTCATCAGAAAATTGTTATATGGAACACTCCTGACGATGGATATCTTTCGACCAGCTCTTGCGCCTTTGAACCTGGTTCCATTGATTGCAATAAGTATTGGAACTTATCTTCTTTGGCAATTTCTTCATCAACATGAATCGTATTGAATTGGCCCCAGAAGCCTATCCAATCCAAAATTTAGACATATCGACTTCCATATGATTACTACATTCATTTAATCGAGAATTACTCACAAATTTGAATCAAGGAGTGTAGAATTTGATATGTTGGAAAAATATACTGATATCTCTACCAAACTTTCCCAAAAAAATACATCAATATTTTTTCAGACAAAAATATAATATAGAGAAAAATGTAAATGAAAACATAGCTGAAGCGGTCAAAAAATGCAGATTTTCCAAGAGAACTCTGATACTTCTTCTGCTAGGTTGAGTAAGTAATATTCGCATGAGTAAATTGAAAAATTCACTTTTTTCTTACCGTCTTGGATGAGACTTACAAAAGGTTTCATACATATATTTATTCATTTACAGACAAGGGAACATTCAATTCCAAAATTCACTTTCAACTTTCCTTGTTATATCTTCATAGACTTCACGTTAAAAATACATATTTTTGAGGTAGTCCGTAACTTTTTCTTAGGCTAATATCCGTCCAATTTTCGTTCTTGGTTTTTCCAAGAAGGAATTTCACTCCGGTCATTATAAGAAACAGATTCAGGTAATGCTCACATAAATAAAATCCTGTCAAATAAATAACAAGGATGATTATGATTTTCGTGATATTCATTTCCATACTTATTTTATTCCTGTACTCTTTCAGTTATCAACACATAACTGATGATAGTTGTAACATAGTATGGTAAGGCATATTTTTTTATTCATTTGAGTGATTGAACTTTGACAATTTTGAATATTTGACAGAAGTGTTCATCGGCTATAGCTACTCTCTTTTGTACGCAGCGTTATTCTATTCGTTGATAGAAATCATATATGTTCATTATCTGACTACACATCATTATGAATATTGTTTGCTTCAGGAGTAGGGAATATTCAATCATGCTTTGATTGAAGGAAAAATCATTATAGCAACATTTCTACAAATGAACATGATTCGCAATCAAAATGTTTACTTGAAAACAGAACTCAAAAACCAGTGGTTCAAGGACGAACCTCAAAGCATTGCTTGATACAAATCTTCTCAAAAGACAAGTCTGAGAAAATTCGATGACATCTCTCCCTACAATGAGGAAAAACTCAATCCACGAATATGAAAGGCAAACAAGGCACTCCAGTGCAATCTTCAGGGCAGATCCATAACTCGAAAACAGTTTGCAAGACATATATTCATGAATATCGCTCGAACAGAATGAAATAGGAAAGGATAGTATGGGGTGGGATAGGGTAGGAGTGGAGTTAGTATATATGGTAGTATATGTGTTGTGGAATTGGCCGTGGGTTCGATTCCCGGCTCGACCAGATATTTTTCCCGAGAGATTTCATCTGGTTGAAGCTGAAATGCTTCTGCAACCGTGTTAGGAATCACACGTTGAAAGGTATGACCTCGTTAGTCCTTAGCTAGCACAAGTTCCTCAACTTCTGAGAGTTCGTATGGGGGCGACAGCTGATTACCGAAAAAAACAGATTTTAAACAGAACAGGTAGGGTAGGGTAGGGGTAGAGTTAGTATATATGGTAGGATAGGGTAGGGTAGGGTAAAGCAGTATTTGATAGGAAAGGAAAGGATAGGATAAGATGGGTAGGATTAAATGGGATGGGATAGGATAAGACGGGCTGGGAGGGAAAGGGATAGGATGGAATGGAAAGGGATAGAAAGGGACAGAACGGGATGGTATGGGACGGGAATGGAATGGAAGGATGGGAAGGGGAAGGGGATGGAAAAGAAAAGGATTGAAAATGGATTAGAAACGAAATGAAGCTGATTATAACGAGACAGAACAGAACGGAATAAAATGGGTTATGACAGATTTCAATGATTTGAAACGGTACAAAACGAAATGAAATGGAACGGATCACAACCGATCGGAGTCGATCGAAGCGGATCGACACGAATAGAACGGAAAGGAACCAAAGAGAATAGATCAGATCAGAGTTAAACGAAAAGGAACGAAAGAAACGAAACAGAACAGTACGAAATGGAAAGGATAAAAACAGATTGGAACAAAATAGTTCACAATAGAATATAATATCCATTAGAATATTTCANGAAACGTTTTCATATTATGTACTGGAAGGGAGATATTGAGGGTGGGAAGTTTTCAAATTGACACACTGTATATGGTAGTATATGTGTTGTGGAATTGGCCGTGGGTTCGATTCCCGGCTCGACCAGATATTTTTCTCGAGAGATTTCATCTGGTTGAAGCTGAAATGCTTCTGCAACCGTGTTAGGAATCACACGTTAAAAGGTATGACCTCGTTAGTCCTTAGCTAGCACAAGTTCCTCAACTTCTGAGAGTTCGTATGGGGGCGACAGCTGATTAACGAAAAAAACAGATTTTAAACAGAACAGGTAGGGTAGGGGTAGAGTTAGTATATATGGTAGGATAGGGTAGGGTAGGGGTAGAGTTAGTATATATGGTAGGATAGGGTAGAGTAGGGTAAAGCAATATTTGATAGGAAAGGATAGGATAAGATGGGTAGGATTAAATGGGATGGGATAGGATAAGACGGGCTGGGAGGGAAAGGGATAGGATGGAATGGTAAGGGATGGAAAGGGACAGAACGGGACGGTATGGGACGGGAATGGAAGGATGGGGAGGGGAAGGGATGAGTTGGGATGGAAAAGAAAAGGATTGAAAATGGATTAGAAACGAAATGAAGCTGATTATAACGAGACAGAACGGAATAAAATGGGTTATGACAGATTTCAATGATTTGGAACGGTACAAAACGAAATGAAATGGAACGGATCACAACCGATCGGAGTCGATCGAAGCGTATCGACACGAATAGAACGGAAAGGAACCAAAGAGAATAGATATTTGAAGGTCTATCTACTAATTTTGTGTGATGTTATCCTAAATTACATCGAAGTTTTGAAGTTCCAGTGTTTCATTTCATTTGCAAGAGATGTCACGTCAGACATAGAGAAAAATCATGTATGGAAGGTGCAGCCTGGATA